AGCGCACATGAATACGATCAGAATAAAGTAGAGGCCTATTATTAGGGCAGGTTCAATCTCTTTTGTTTTGGATTTGTACCTTCATCCCCGAACTACCAGTCATGGTTCAAGACCTATTAGAGTTAACGATCTCCTGGATCGTTAAGGGGTGTAATCTTCACCTCGTGAACGGTTTACAAGTTCCTAAAACTTGTTGGCGACTCTTTTGCTCTATCTTCCTTCCCTTTGGACGTCACCGTACTTTAGTGTATGATCACAATGGGGTTCAAGCTAGGGGTAATGCTTGAAATGTTTCCTACAATGCCAATTTGAGGCGTAGCCATGTCATTGATCGCCGATAAGGGTACTTGTCAAGCTACTAAAATAGCTCAGCAAGTGACCGACGTTATGCGTTGAAGCATAGACTACAAAGATAAATTGTAATCAGACTCCTTATTGCATATATCCGAGAACACAGATACAGGCACTAGAGGGGAAAGAGAACATAAGATAAGAATTAAATTTTTTATCTGTCAACCATTGAAAAGTATTGCAACCGTTAGTAACCATTAGTATATGTTTAGAGTGAAATTGATGTGGCTACAAACATAAAAGAGTTGATTCCGATATATTCATATCAGTTGTTGTTTGCCAAATACGTGGAGAAAATTATAGATAGAAACCACATGCACACTACATGTAGAAGCAGAAAGAATTTTTTTTGAGAAAGTAGTAAACTTAGAAAATGACAATTGACAGGCATGACCACGAAAAGGGTATATGTCGATAAAACAACATTGTCAAAAACAGACAAATTAAAAGTTCAAATCTTGAAACTAAAGCAGATAAGGTCCTATTTCACAAGAACCGCAGGATAACGTCGGTGATGATTGCGCGCCCCTTCAGGCTTGTTGATTTTCAGGCTTAGGAGAATTCAGAATGATGGGATCAGAGGGGCCGGCATCAGCAGACGACTCCAGTTGAGAAGATCCTCGTCGGAAAATTCTTGTTAATCGAAGTCGGAAGGAATCTTATGGGCTTTATTTTCAAAAGCCTTCTCAACCTTGGCCCAGTCATCCTTCTTCCAACCGACAACTTGGACCACACATCTCTAGGCAGCAGTCCATCCTCCATCAAAGCAGTCTTGAAACTTGGTGCAGAATTCTTTGGAGGTTAAATAACAACCAATTGCCCTTTGACGGATGCCCGGCTTGTTAGCTTCCATCTTTTGGATCTTAGCCTCCAAGTTGCTGATGGTGGTCTTGAATTAGAGATCTCATTTTGCACGACAGGAAGCCGGTCAACGGTGGTGCTCTTCTCAAAAAGATGAGTTTTTAGCTGTTTCACCTCTGCCTCAAGGATGGTAACCTTGCCAACCTTCTCGCGTAAAGTTTTTAACTTTTCATCATCCTTGGCCTTTATTAGCTTGATGTCGTTAAGAGCCTCCTCGGCATTCTTCAAAGCCGCTTCTAAGGACTGCTGGCTTGAGGAGCTTAAGTGGTGTTGCTCCTAATAGTACCTGTACATCTCAACCAGCTCCGTACCAGAAGCGACAGCCTGTTAACCAGAGAAAAACTAAAGAAAAAAGAGGTAAAACATACAACAATAACTAAAAAAAGAGATTAAAAGCCGAGAAGTTAAAGATAGAAAAATGGCACTTAAAGACATACTTTAATCAAATCATGCATGTGTTGGGCAGGAATAGGAGCGATTAGGCCTGACGGTCTGTCAACCGGGGTGGCCCCGTTTCGCAAAAGCCGATACCCCAAGTTCCCACCGCGAAGTGATCGCCAGTAAAGATTGTTTGTTCCGGTATACGTCCATCTCGGGCCTCCATCGGTCCTGAGAGCGGCCTTTAGGGGCAGCAACCTGTGGGGAATATTTCAAGCATTACCCCAAACTTGAACTCCACTGTGATCATATACTAAAGTACGGTGGTGTCGAAAGGGAAAGAAGCTAAAGTAAAAGAGTTGCCAACAAGTTTTAGGAACTTGTAAACCGTTCACAGGGTGAAAGTTACACCCCTTAACGATCCAGGAGATTGTCCACTCCAATAGGTCTGGAATCATGACTAGTAGTTCGGGGGTGAAGGTACAAACCCAACCTAAAACAGATTGAACATGCCCTAATAATAGGCCTCTACTTTATTCTGATCGTATTCATGTGCGCTTTCTGACTAACATGCAATCAATAGGTTTACCCTAAACCTGTTTATCTATGTTAGTTGAATATTATTGCACAAATAAAACTAAAATTGGCGATCACTTGAATTATAATCGTATTAACCCTAAACAAGATTATTAATTATCTTATATAAGTGTGATTACAAGTACAAATTCCCTTTAAACATGCATAAAAGGCTTGATCAAGCAATAACAATAATATAATCAAGCAACATAATAATAATCAAAATAATCATAACATTTATAATAATTAAAATAATCATATCAACGTTAAAGCATAATAATAGCAAGATCCTAGGCATGATATTAACAAGATTAATTACAAACCCTAGCAGGTCACTAAACATCAAAGATCAAAGCTTTAACCCTAACATGATACTAACATGATATTAAGAAAGAAAATCGGAAGCATCACAGAAATCATAATAAGCATATTTGATATTAGAAATTTTAGTTGTTACCCTAAACATGATACTAGGAAGCAATAAAACATCCTAACATCATACTAGGAATCAAAATTACAATCTAAACATAATTTCTATATCATAATATCAATCAAACAATTAAAGCACTTACTTGGATGCCTCATACCTCTTTCTAATAACAAAATACACGCGTTAGTAACTTCAAGGAAAATAATAATCAAACAATTAAATTTAATAATTGAAAGAGAGACGAAGACAACTTCGAACTTGGCTAGGTTTGTCTAGATCTTGTGAATGCGGAATTTTGTGTGCAAAAGGCTAGTTTAGAAAAGAGAGAGAGAGAGCAATCAAGAGATTCTTGAGGAGAATTAGTTAGAGTTGAATTAGAAAGAATTCATAAGAATTGATGAGAATTGATTCTTGTTGACGATTAAAAATGGAGGTTTTAGGAGGCTATTTATAAAGAAAATCAGCCGGATATGATAGAAAACGAATCAGAGTTTCGAAAAGAATAAAACACGACCACAACGCCAAACACGCACCTGTCGCCAGACGCCAGGTTTGTCGCCAGGCGACAGAGCTGTCGTATGGCGCTAGAAATAATTTTCCATGCGTTTTCTTTTGATAAATTTTAAACGTACGAGAGGGAAAAATTGTATTTTCCTTAAAAACACTTCTTTTATTCTGATTGAAACTCTAAAAAAGTCAACTAAAGTCAATTTATCAATGCTAATTAAATTAGGATTCAAAAGAACCTTCTAGAAGATTCTAGAAGAATATAATCAATCCTAATTACATTAGGAATGATAAACCATAATAGGCCCTCCTCTAGATCATTGGGCTGCACATAAATATCAAATCGGGTCCAGTTTAGTAATTTGGCCATAACTTCCTCATTATTCATCGGAATTGGGCTTATAATATATCGTTGGAAAGCTCTTTTCAAACCCAACCCAACTACACTATTATTGTACCCTTGACATGGACCAAACCGAACTGAATTAGCTGTTTTCTTAAAATAGGTTTTCAAAAACAGAGAGAAAGGAAAGAAATAAAACTAACTGCAACACTAGACTTTCCACACTTTCACTTTCATTCGATTATGATTCGACGTGAAAAGTACTCATCACTGGGTTTAGTTTTGGGGATACACAAATGGGTGTCTACACAACCCTCTTAAGAACTTTGTCCGGAATCTTCCCTTCCGGATGCTTAATCCATTGATTGGCTTGATAGGTAATGCACGGAATGCTGACATCAGAACCAACTGGTCCGGCATGTCGAGGTTTGACGGAGACTGGGGTCGTGACCTGGGCCTGGGGTGGAGAGTCTGTATTATCTTTTATCACCATGCCACCCGGGCCGACATTCTTTATCGGCATAACGTTGCTACCTTTTGTGACAGGATCAACATTTTAAAGGGGAGACGGAGGCCTTTGTTCCCGAAAGCCAGCCTTAGCTCACTTAGAGGGCTGCTCATCTTCCTTTTTGGAAGAAACAGCGGTCGTTCCTCCACCGCGCCTGTTGGCAAGAGATACCAGGAGCTGATTTCTCCTTGTTTACTTGTCGGCCATTTCTTCAGCCCCTATTTTCGGATTTCGAGCTAGGGTGCAAGAACAGAAGGATGCAAGGGTATCAAAGGCACGCCTAGGAGATGGAGGGCAGCGTGAAATCACCTTTTTGCCGTCAGAAGACAACCCTAGAGCTTTGTTGTCTAAGTTTTTGGGGCCTTGTACATAGCAGAAAGTGTCAGAGAACTGTTTGTTCTTTTAAAAAAAAGAGTAAATAATGATAACAACAATAATAAAACTGAGATGATAACCAATGAGCAGATTACAGCCAATATACATACATATAAGAACATTAAGCAGTAATACAAAAGATTTTTTGAACCATGACTAAGAAGAAATAAAAGCAAAACTCAAAATGTGAAGTAAGTACCATAATCGTCAGTCCAGCATAGACCGATATAAGATAATGGCGCATTGCCTAGAATATTATTCACATTCGGAAGCCACACCTTAGGAATAGTCTAGCTCTTTCCACCCCCAATGTTAATCTTTTCAGCATTAAAATAATCAAAAGCCCTATACTCTTGAATACCATGTTCTCTCTCGATAATATGGCCAAAACGAGGGTGAGACCGAAAGAATGCCCTCCTAATAGGAAAGTCATTAGGGACGCTCATAAAAAAGAACTTGTCTTGCTAGCCTTTGCAGCTAAACAACTTTGGGTTACTGTGAACTTATGGGAGGTCGTCACTACTACAATTTAATACTTGTGCCACGATTTATGCCACGAGATTTTTAAAATTGTGGCAATTTTACATCTTGCCACAGGATAATAGCTTTCACAATAATTCCTTTTGTTTTATAGATATATTTTGCCACGACAAAAAAATATTTGTGGCAAACATTCTATTTAGCCACGAAACATTTTGTAGCAAGTATATTTTAGTCGGGATTCCTCTCATCATGGAGTACATTTGTACATACTAGTATGTGAAATTTTTTAAATTTAAAAACAATGACCTAAATTTTTTTAACAAAATTAAAACAACCGCCTTAAATAAAAAAATAGCCGCCTAAAATAAAAAGTTCCCACTAAATTATACCTACACTCTTACGTTCCCTCTAGTCTGACAAAAAAAAAATAAAAGAAAAACCTACAACATAAGCAGAAGTTCCTTCAACCTTCAAAATTTCTTTTTCTACCTTAAGTTTTATTTTTTTTCTTCACCTATTGAAGATATTGTTGGCCACCGCTCAATTTAATCTTTCAATTGTTCAATCATTGATGCTGGGATTCCTTAATTGCGGTTAGGTATTCTAATATTGATTTTCTAGTTAACATATATATATATATATATATATATATATATATATATATATATATATATATATATATATATATATATATATATATATATATATATATTTTATTGTAATCATAATTTTCCCAATTTTGCTTGTAGATTTCAATTGCTGCAATTCGGGTATTATTATTTATTCAGTGGAAAGGACTTTCAGGAATCAGAGACAAGGTATGTGTGTTTCTTGCAATTTTTTTCAATTTTGTTATTAGGGTTGTTGTAACGAATTGGAATTATTGGATGTTGCAAAAGAAAAATTAATTTTTGCTAAATTAGTTCGATTGTTAAGGTTATTGAGATTCATTATAAAGTATAGTGAGGCTTCCGATATTTGGTTAGATTATTATAGTTTTGCTGTGACTTTTCATTGGCATTCTAATAGTAGCGTTTTTTTAGCACTAGTATTATGCACTATAATAAGATAAAATAGCGTTGGTGCAGATGTGTAGTATGAAATTATAATTTTGATTTGCATATTAAAGCTAGTAATCCAATTGTTCCATGGGTGGGTACTTTTGGCGGCTAAACATATACGAAGTAATATAGTATTATATGTCTAACTGGACTAAATCTTATATCATATTTCTGGTGCTCAAATTAGATTACTCTAGTTTTGGCTAGATAGGATCCTGTATTCTTAGTTTTATTATAAAGAAACTTTTATTTTTATGTTAATACAAGTTTCAAGAAAAAAAAAACTATTAAATCATGAAACTAGTGTTTTTTTTTTTTCTTAAAAAAGAGTAGTTTTCAACGCATCAACAAGTGCAAAAATAGAACAAAATATATCATGTATACATAACTTTTTAGTAACAGATGTTAGGTGTAAATATATTTAGAGTATTTGTTTTTAAACTCAATAACTTAAAACATGAGATGCTCAAGGTAAAGTTAACTTGTGTTAGATCAATATAATACTCTAGCGGGGCGTTTGGAATGTGGGAATGAGAGTTTGGGGATTAAAATATGGGAATGGGATTGGGAATTGATTGTTGAGAATATAGAAAAATATGACAATACTTTGTTTGGGTAGTGGATGAGAATAGATGGGGAATAAATAACAAAAATACAAAATTACCCTTATTAATCTTTCTCCTCCTTTTTTTCATGAATGAAAAAAATGTCATTTTCTACTTATTCTCATTCCCACCCATTTATTACCTACCCTCCCTAGGTAATAAAATGGTGGGAATTCAACTCATTTATTCCCAATCCCATTCCCTTATTTAATTCCAATCCCATCTAACAAACAAGAGATTTTGTTTTATTTGGGATGAAAATTCTCATTCCCGCCCTGAATTCCCATTTACCAAACACCCCCTAGGTGACAATTTTAAGCCAATCATTCTTGTTCATCAGTTCTTAGAAAGACTTTTGGTAAGACTTTTAAAGTGCTTCTTTGAAACATTGGCTCTTGTTTCTCTATATACATTGTTCCCTCAATCCCTACTAAGCTAACAAACTTTAACTCATAGATTACATGGTTTTATGCATATTAATTAACTTTATTTTTTTTATTTTACATTTGTGATAGTAGTTATTAGAGTATTTTGATCTTTCGAGGCATCATAAATATTAATTTGTGTGTTTTTAAGATAAATCATGATGTTTTATTTTACCATTATTAATAAGAAGCTATAAGTAGTGCTTAGTTCTTAGGTGGGGCTTATGTATTCATATAAATTTTCCTGCAGAATTACGTTCAAATGCTCACATGTATTGAAAGTTTTTTTTTTTTTCTAATTATGTATCTTGTAGCTACTTTTTCACTAAAGATATGGATACTTCAAATCTTTTAATAAGGAAAAGGTTGGAATGGATGGGTTGTGATGATAAAACTCATACATTGTACATAAATGGGGTGACAGAGTTTTTAGACTTTGCTTTTACCGATCAATCTAGTAGTATTGATGATGAGGAAGAGGAAACTAAAGTCCCTTGCCCTTGTAATCGATGTAACAATAGTCGGCACAATACAAGGGAAGAGATTTATGATGATTTGCTATTAAATGGAATGGTGAAAGGTTATGTTCGTTGGATCTATCATGGTGAATTTAAACCTCAAGAAAAACGACGTAGAATTGAAATAGGTGATGATAAGGGTCAAGATGAAATCTTTGATATGATATATGAGGCTCATGGGCCAATGAGCTCAAATGACATTCTAGATGAACTTAATAACCAACCAAAAGAGGGAGAGCCAGATGATAATGAGCATGTTAAGGGTACAAAGGGAGTTGAATCTTTTGAAAATTTGATGAGAGATGCTTAACAACGTTTATACCCTGGTTGTGATAACTTTTCAAAGTTGTCATTTATATTAAAGTTGTTCCAGATTAAGTGTATGGAAGGTATAAGTAACAAAGCTTTTACAAGTATGCTTAAAATGTTTAAAAGTGTGTTACCTAGTGATTCAAATGTGCCATCAACATACTATGAAGCACGTAAAATGATTACTGATTTTGGTTTTGATTATGAGAAGATTGAAGCATGTGAAAATGATTGTATATTATTTTGGAAAGAGAATGCTAACCTTAAAAAGTGTATTGTATGTGATACTAAACGTGACGCAACTTCCCCTAAGGTGCTACGATATTTCCCATTAACACTAAGGATACAAAGGTTGTTTATGTCTTCTAAAACTGCTAATGAAATGAGATGGCATAAAGATAAGCGGGAAGATGACGGAGTTCTTAGGCATTCAGCAGATAGTAAAGCATGGAAACATTTTGATGTGACATATAAGTCATTTTCTGCAGATTCTCAGAACGTCAGTTTAGGTTTGGCATCTGATGGATTTAATCCATTTGGTGGTTTAAGAAGTGATTATAGCATAAGGCCAGTAGTGATTGTTGTGTATAATCTCCCGCCATGGATGTGTATGAAACAACCTTATACTATGCTATCTTTGTTAATTCCAGGCAAAAGTGCACCAGGAAATAATATTGATGTATACTTACAACCTTTAGTTGAAGAGCTAAAGCAATTGTGGGAATTCGGGGCTAAGACTTATGATGCATCAAAAAATGAATATTTTCCTATGCATGCAGCTCTCTTATGGACCATCAACGATTTTCCAGCTTATGCTAAATTATCTGGGTGGTCTACTAAGGGCTATAAGGCTTGTCCCCGTTGTTTGAATGAAACCTCTTCAACTAGATTACCTAATTGTGGTAAGTGTTGTTATATGGATCATCGTTGCTTTTTACCTGCTGATCACAAATGGAGACACAATAAGTCTTTTAATGGTAAAGTTGAAACAAGGGGTCCACCAAAGAAATTATCAGGTAGTGAAATATTAGAGCAAGTTAAGGATCTTGAAGGTATGAAGTTTGGGAAAACCAGTAAGTTACCAAAGAGAAATGACAATTGGAAAAAGCAGAGTATATTTTTTAAATTGCCTTATTGGAATAACCTCTTGCTTCGTCATAATCTTGATGTTATGCATATCGAAAAAAATGTTTGTGATAATATTCTTGGCACTTTACTCGACATTGAAGGTAAAAGCAAAGACAATATTAAAGCTAGACATGATTTAAAACATGTAAAGATTATGAAGCATCTTGCTCCGAAATTGATTGACGGAAAATGGCATATGCCACCAGTACCTTATACATTATCCAAAGCTCAAAAATTAACAGTGTACAAATTTTTGGAGGATATTAAAGTTCCGGATGGGTATTCATCTAACTTTTCTAAGTGCATCAATCTTGAGATGCGTAAAATATGGGGACTTAAAACGCATGATTGTCATGTGCTTTTAGAGGAATTGTTGCCGTTGGCAATTCGTGGAGTATCATCTTCTAAAGTGTACGAGGTGATTACTAAATTGAGTGCATTTTTTAAGAATTTGTGTTCCAAGACTTTAAAATTAGAGGACTTGAATGATCTTGAGGATCATATTGCAATCACCTTGTGTTAAATGGAAAAGATTTTTCTTCCCTCTTTTTTTGATGTAATGGTGCACTTATGTGTTCACTTAGCTGAGGAAGCTAAGATAGCAGGGCCAGTTCATTATCGATGGATGTATCCTATTGAAAGGTATTTATTTATTTTGAATGAATTGTGAAATTTCTTTGTTAACATGAACATATATTCATAATTTATAGTGTTGTCTTACAGGTTATTACGAAAATTCAAATCATATGTTCGCAATAAAAATAGACCGGAGGGATCCATTGCAGAAGGATATATAATAGAGGAGTGTATGTTCTTCTGTTCAAGATATTTAAATGATATGGAGACTAAATATAACATGTTAGAGAGGAATGCAGAAGAAGAAACTGATGCTTATAAGGGATTATCAATATTTGCATCATTTGGCGCTCCCTTGGGAAAGGCTAAATCTAAATCTCTAACTACCGAAGACTTGATACAAGCTCGAGAATATGTGCTTAAAAATTGCGACGAAACTGAGTCATACTTAAAGTATGAACTTTCTTATTTTCCTTAATTTATTTTATGTTATTCAAAGTATTTAGACACTTGTATAACAATAGTTTTCCTTTTTTTAACAGTGAATATGCAGAAGCGGGATCTGATAAAAATTTGGTAGAATGGTTTCAAGATCGGGTATGATAATACTTAAATATATATATATATATTTTAATTCTAATTAACACTTAACTAACCCTCTCATATCGAACCAGGTTACAACATTGCCAGAAAGTGAGGATCAAGTTGTCAAAGATTTAAAAACTTTGGCTTTAGGGTCGTTTAGAGGTTTCCAGTGTTTTGGTGGATATTTGGCTAATGGATTCAGCTTTCATACTAAGGACATTGAAAAGAAGAGAAAAAATCAGAATTCTGGTGTTATGGTTAAAGGAATTGCAGAGTCAAAAAATATTGACTACTTTGGGGTGCTTAATGACATAATTATGCTGCAGTATTTAGAGGGAAAGCGTGTGATCTTGTTTCGTTGTGATTGGTGGGATGTTCATAAGATTAGTAAAGGGGTTAAGATTGACAAATGCGGTGTAGTTAGTGTTAACACTAAATGTAAGCTAATTATTGATGAGCCATTTATGCTTATGTCTCAAGCCCAACAAGTATTTTTTGTTAGAGTCGGATTTGATACAAGCTAGTTGGTTGTGATTAAGACCCATCCGCGAAATCAATACAACGTCCCAGAAAATGAAAATGTCGATTTAGATGAGAATGCTTTACAACAAAGTGACTCAGGAGCTGTTCCTAATGTTTTCTTATCGGCTCATGACTTAAAGGACACTCCTTATCAATTTTATGACCAAAGAGATGATATTGATGACATAATCATTGATGCAACTGATCAAAATCAACCCAAAGTTGTCAATGATAATGAAATCGAAGATAATGAATTTGATTTTGATACAGACAATGACACTGATGGTGAAGAAGAATGTGATAATGATGGAGATGAGGACGATGATGATTATATTACATGATTTTTGTTTCTTTAAATTAATTTTTTAAATTAATTTTCTTTCACTAATGTTATAGTTTGACATTTTTATACAATTTTTGTTGGATATATTACGCTTTATAAATCATGATCTAGAAAAGTTGCATGATATAGTAATTTATGATGTAAACTAATGATTATATGGTATATAGTTATTAACACTTTTAGTCCAGGTTTAATGATGGAGAAAGTTGGAATTAATACTTCTGACAAGAATAGTGGCCAACAAAATGAGTATGAACAACAAAGGTTAAAGAGGATTCAGGATAATAAGTATAGAATGCAATCCTTGGGTATCAAGCGCATTTCAGCATCCTTGACAAGTTTAGTGGAAAGCAAAAAAGAAAATAAGAAGATGAAGAAGAGCCAAAATGTGACTAAGATAGATAGTTGTGGAACAAGGTATGTGATATGAATATTTGAATTATCTAAATGTTTATAACTCAGAGTAACATAAAAATCAATATATGTCTTCCTTAATACAGCCATTAGTAATAATCACGTACAATCAAATGCACATCAAAAAAATATTGGTCAAGATGAAGGTAAAAGCCATTGGTTCCTTTTAATGAACTATGAAATTAAAATAGAATTGTCCTTTCAATATAAGGGATTTGTGGCGTCATTGTATACTTTTAAAAAAAATTACTTTTTTATAATTGTACATTGCAGACATACAAGATATCGAAGGAATTGTAGAGGATTTGAATGAAAATGCTGATAATGAGGTTGAAATGAATAAAGGTAGTTTATATATAATAATTTTTTGTTGTTTACACGTTGCATTATATTTGGCTATTAGAATTACATTGTGCTAAAATTGGGATTTTATACAACGTTAAATCAAATATGAATGAGCATTTATTTGATGGTGATGTTCAAATGAATCAAGGTAAGTGAAATTGTCATTCTTAAAGACTTCAGCAATAACTATATTGTAATACATTTTCATCTTGTTTTATGAATGTTTTTGTAATTGCACATATGAAAGAGGATATGGAGATACACAATGATGAGGATTTTCAAGTAACAGGTGATGTATCTACTCATGTGGTTGATGAAAATAGTTATGAGTTGAAAACTAATCCTATTTATACAGGAGGAAAGCAGTTGAAAACCTTACGTTTTCCTTAGCTCCCACTACACCACAACTTCATGAAATAAGGAAGTGCAGTTCGTGGATGCTTGGGCAGCAAGCTGAAGCACACAATAAGGAAGTGGTTCCTTTATTTTCTCAACCTCCTTTAACAAGTAAAAGCCGTTTAAAAAATAGTTTTACCAAGTCAGATTTTCCAAAATGTTAGGATAAAATCAGAACAGAAAATCTTTTAATAAAAAAGATATTTTTACTTAAAAGATAATTTTCCGAAATAAAATATAAAATTAAATCTCGTGAAAGGAAGGAAAATAAAATCTTTATAAGCTGAAATTAAATCCACTTAAATCCTATCAATTAATAATGTACTTAACATATATACAAGAAGCCTAAAATAAATAATAAAGATACAATAGACTCCTTGGAACACAGTGAAGCCTCGACTCTGAAGCTTCAGTTCCTCGCTCAAGGAACTTGGCTTCTGATTGTCTTCTATGCTCATCCACATCTCATCCTTAGACCTTATTCCATGCTCCGTTCTGACTCTAGAACTTCGTTGCATATAAGAACCTGTCAAGTACATCAAAGCTAAATAGACAAAAGTTAAGCCCTTATGGGTTTGCTTAGGTTCCTTGAGTCATCATCAAAACTTAAGATCAACAATATTCCCCCTTTTTTATGAATGACAAACCTAAGCAAACTCACAAAATAAAAATTTTGAAAGACAATCCAAAAACGAAAAAACTTAAAACAAAAATGAACTAGCTAAATTTAAACAAGGAACTGAATGAAAGTTATAGTTATACCTTCTATTATAGGATGGAGAGCTTGTCAACAATTGAGTTTGCCTTCTTTTCCCCCTTTTGGCGTTCATCAAAATTAATGCACACAAATATACATAACTAAACACAGCACCATTTTATTGGTTTGTGTCCAAAACATAGAATAAAGCACATATAGGCAGAAATAGTATGCAAATAGTCATAAGGCAAGCAAGCAACATCCATATGAACAAACTGATGTTCCTCCAGAACATCAAAAACAAAAGAAAATACCCTGTTTAATTGTTTACAGACCAAAAGAAGCAAAATAAACCAAGTTTAATACAGACCAAGATCAAAAGATAGTTTGATATATGAGATAGGCAGAAAATAGGATTAGGCTTTAGGGGCTGGGGTCTTGTGCTCTTCTTCTATTTCCTCAGCAACTTCTTCTTCAACAACAATCTCTTCCAGCTTCTTCAACAACTCAGCCTGGCCTTGAGAGAGAATTGAAGTGCTTTCCTTCATTGCTGAGGTGAGTTCCTTAGAAGCATGCACCAGGTCTCCTACTAGCTTCTCAAGAGCTCCAATCCTCGGGAGCAGAGTTGTTGAGCATTAGACAACAGCTTGACAGCATCTTTGAGTGCTTTCAGTTCCAAGGTAGAACTCACAGAACCAAAGGCAGCAAATCTTGTACCTGCACTTACTAGAGCAGAACGAGTGATAGATTCCTGCATAAATATGCCCTGTTCCCCCTGAACAAAGGCTTTCTCTTCACTGAGATCTACAAAAGCAGCTGGAGCCTCAGCTTTCGCTTTTGGCTTAACAGCCAACCTAATGCTCTTCCTTTTCCTAGCACCAGAAGCATTACTTTTCCTGCCCTTCTTTTCAGAACATTCTTATTTTTCCTTATTTTCTTCCTCTCCCTCACTTTCCTCTTCTTCTAGCCATTTGTCCAACTCCTCTTCCTCAGTCAGAACCTTAACTCCTTCCTTAGCCTTAGGAGTTTGTTTAGGAAGGAATTGGGTAATACCATCAACAACATGCAAGTTTCTGCTTTCAAGGGTTTTGGGTTGAACAAAATGATTGGTTTGTAGTTTGATATGTTCACAGTTCTCCACGGAAATACCAAAACTCTCAATGAGAGTAATGATCAGATTTGCATATCCAACCTTCAAATGGTTTGCAAGACAGTGGGTGAGGTGTTTTATCATGATGGAAGGGAAATTGATTTGTATTTTGTTTTCAAGGCAGTACATCAGCATAGCATCAAGGTGGTTAGCCTCATGCCTGTGCTGAGTTCTTGGAACAATGGCTAAATGCACAAAGATAAACAACAATTTTTGAATGGGAGAGAACAAATTATGATTAGTTTGAACTTTAGACACCTTTCCACCAATTGATTCCACAATATCTTTTATGGGCACACCACCTACACTTTTATCAGTAGCTCCTTTAAAATATTCATCAAACCCCTCATTCGGAGTTCCAAAGATAGCACATAAATAATCAGCATCAAAACTAATTTTCTTATTTTTAACTCTTGATACACAAACACCATCATAATTCTTAAAATTTGCACAGAATTCTTTCAAAGGAGCATGAGCAAGCACATTATTGTAACTTTCACTAAACAGTTGCACCCAATTTTGAGCCTCTAAGATTTCAAGTAATTCAGAATACTTACTTACTTCACACCATGGAAAGTTGATGCAGAAACCATGAATGAAGCGTTCAGAGCTTGCTTCGACTTTCTTTTGAAATGGAGACTTTTCCAACTGAATTCTTTCTCCTAATTCCTCCCAGCCCTGATCCTCAAGTTCCTCCAGCTTTCTTTTCTTTGACTCGGCAAGCAAGTTCTTTGGTTTTTCAACAGAGGGTTTTGTTTGATTCTCTTGCTCGATATCCATGGGTGAATCCTTTTGAGGGGTAACTTGAGGTTTTGGTGAAACATCCATGGGTGACTTCGCTGAATCGGTAAAATGTAGGGTGTATTTTACAGAGTGAGGAGGTGAGGAACAGTGTGTAGGGTTTGGTGTCATTTTAAAGGGGTGGAATTTTAAGGGATAAAAGGGTCGGTGGAAGAATGTGGAAGGTTAATTGAATAGTGCAGGTGTCGTTTGATGAAGGATAGAGAAATTACTTTTAACTTGGTCAGTTTAAAGAATTAATGTGATTTGACATGAAAGGTCTAGGTAAATTATCAGAAACTTTGAATTGAATGCAAACAGTCACAGGTATTTAATCAACAATTTTTTAGAGATGAATTTGAATTTTAAAAGATAAGCAATGAGGAATAATTCAAAATAAAAGATAAAATTTTAAGAGATAAAATTAATCAACTGATTAGTTAATTAATTCTCAAAAGATAGAACAAAATCTTATAGATTATTTCGGAGGACTAGGAACAAATCAACATAGTTTGTTATAACATAGACATGCCAGATGCAATTTGATTTCTTCACATACAGCCACAATCCCATATGTATTGCCATACATTCTAATGCTTAGGACTATGTTTTCACATATTCATATTGTGTAAGATACATTTAATGCATGCATGATTGACTTATACCTTAGGGGAACTTGAGGTCTTCTTAACTCAATTGTATCATACCAAGTTCCATGCGCATCTTTTCAAATTTGTCCCTGCTCAAAGGCTTAGTAAGAATGTCAGCAATTTGATTTTCAGTTTCACAAAAATCTAACTTAATTAAGCCTTTTTCCACATTATCCTTAAGGAAATGATGTCGTATGTGAATATGTTTCACACGTGAATGATGAACTGGATCTTTTGAAATGCATATGGTACTAGTATTATCAAAATAAATAGGAATGCAATTATACTTCATACCATAATCTCTTAGTTGTTGTTTTATCCAAAGTACTTGAGAACAGCAGGCAGCAGCTGCCACATATTCAGCTTCAGCAGTTGACAAGGCCACTGTATTCTGTTTCTTGGATCCCCAAGAAACTAGGCATGGCCCGAGAAACTGAATCATTCCTAAAGTACTCTTCCTATTAACCAAATCTCCTGCATAGTCAGCATCTGCAAAACCTTTTAAATCAAAAGTATCACTTCTAGGATAGAAAAGACAAAGATGGTCAGTTCCTTTGAGATATCGTAGGATCCTTTTTACTGCTGTAAGGTGTGACTCCTTAGGATTAGATTGAAACCTTGCACATAAGCCAACACTAAATGCAATATCAGGTCTGCTAGAAGTTAAGTATAAAAGGGATCCAATCATACCTCTGTATTTGGTTTGATCTACACTAGTTCCTTGTAGATCTTCATCTAACCTTGTGTCTGTTCCCATTGGAGTATGGTTGGTCTTTGCTTGGTCAAGGTTATATTTCTTCAGCAGTTCCTTGACATACTTTTGTTGGTGAATTGCAATACCTCTTTCAGTTTGTTTGATTTGTAGTCCAAGAAAGAAATTAAGTTCCCCCATCATGCTCATCTCAAATTCACCACTCATTAGCTCAGCAAAGTACTTGCACAAGTTTTAGTTAGTTGCTCCAAAAATAATATCATCAACATATATTTGAACAACTAGTAAGTCAGTTCCTTCAGATTTTAAAAAAAAAAGTTTTATCTACTTTACCTCTTTTAAAATCATTTTGAAGAAAGAACTTAGAGAGCCTCTCATACCAAGCTCTAGGTGCTTGTTTCAGCCCATAAAGAGCTTTATCAAGCTTAAAGACATGATTAGGAAATTGTGGATTTTCAAAACCAGGAGGTTGTTCCACGAACACCTCTTCTTCAAGAAAACCATTTAAGAAAGCACACTTAACATCCATTTGATATAGTTTGAAACCCATAAAAGAGGCAAAAGTTTCTTCAAAGTCAATACCTTCTTGCTGATTATAGCCCTTCACAACAAGTCTTGCTTTGTTTCTCACAATTGTTCCATATTCATCCAGCTTGTTCCTGAATACCCACTTGAGCCCTATAACCTTTTTGTATTTAGGTTTCTCTTCAAGATGCCAGACCTT